TCCTCATTAGTAAGAAGTCGAGCGAAGGGAAAGGTTTTTCTTTTTTTTGGCTGATTGGATGTTGATTCATTTGTTTTTGTTGGAGCTCGAAAAGTAGGATACTTAAGGGCTAATTTTAGAGAACAGGTACCGGGATTTTTGAATGTCTCAAGCTCTTCTTTTAATAACGTATTTTCTTGCTTTAAAGAATCATTTTCCACCCTTAATAATTCATTTTCTCCTGTAATACTAGTTTGAGGACTTGAATGGGAAGATGGTATAGAATAATAATGAAGTGGGTGAGAAGACGATATATGAATTGGTCGATAAGATGATATATGAATTGAATGAGGAGAAGGATATGGACTTTGATGAAAAGACGGTATGGAGGAATATGTATTTTGATAAGAAGATGGTTCTGAGAGATATAAATTTTGTTGAGAAGACGATTCTGAGAGATATAGATTTTGTTGGGAAGACGATTCTGAGGAATATGGATTTTGTTGAGAAGACGATTCTGAGGAATATGGATTTTGTTGAGAAAACGATTCTGAGGAATATGGATTTTGTTAAGAAAACGGTATAGAGTAATATGGATTTTGTTGAGATGACGGGATAGAGGAATATGGATTTTGTTGAAAAGACGGAATAGCATTTGAAAACGTTCTTGACCAGTTTGTTGGAATGAAGGTAAAATATTAATTCGTTCTGTAGATAAAGAGGGATTAAGATGTTCTGGATTAATAGCATTAGGATTAAGAGGCCAAATCCCCGTAGCTCTAAAAGCATTAATAATTGCTTCAGGTATGTAAGTTTTTGTAAATGCTTGTCCAAACATTTTGGCGAATGTGTGTTTTGTTACCAGCTCACCATGGTCATTATGAATTTTGTTGCAAGCATTGCTATATTCCGTTTTAAGTTTAGAAAAAGGAAGCTCAGAAGGTTGGAGAATGTGTGTAGTATGGGGAGGAAGCGCATATAGCAATATGCCATTTTCATTACAAAAGTTAACGCATATATAGTTTATGTGGCTTTTGTAACCGTCAAGAATTAAAAGAACTAGACGACGAGGAGGAATAGAGTTGATAAAATGTTCGATGTACATTTGAAATAGTTCTTCTTTCATATACCCTGTGTCGGTAAAACCCATAACAGTACTAGCAGAGGCACCATTTAACAAATTAGGAATTGCACGAATACCCTTGTAAATAATTAATGGGGGGATGTAGCTGCCAGCAGCCGAAATCATAGGGACAACAGAAATATGTTCATGTGTGTTGCCGTGAGAAACTTTATGGACCTGACGGGAGCCTTTCTTAGGAAGAACTTTTTGGACTTTTGGAGTTATAACGAAACCAGTTTCGTCCATATTCCAAATTCTATCAGGGGTAAGTAAATTGTCTTGAATTATTTTATTGAGTTTGTCAAAATGGTCTTTAATTATAGTCGGGTTAGCTCTCTGTGCATGTGCCTCGGATAAAGCCTGAGGTGTACGAAATGACAAATCGGAATGATCTCTCATAAAACGTGTCCACCAGGCTTTACCAGGCTTACCATCTTTAAAAGGATGATTATGGTTGTTACTTCTTACAATTGTCATCACACAATGGTTTACGTCAGATCGTGTAAGGCCAAATCCTAACCTCTGCATATTCTTACAATAGCCTACTAATTGTTCTTCTTCGTGGGTGCTTAAGATCGTTGAAGGACCGGGACGATTGGGCAAGCTATTATTTTTAATGGCACGCCTTAAAGTTGTTGCAGCAACATCAAATCTTAATGCAGCTTCCCGAATGCTAAGCTTTTCAGAGCTAGCAAGTGCCTTGAGAGCGGACTCAATTGCTTTTACACGAGTAGTTCAGGTTTGTTGAGGTTTTGATTTAGTTATAGTAGGTTTGGTTACGGTTTTAGGCTTGGTTATAATTTTGGTCTTGGATTTAGTTACAACAGGTTTGGTTACGGTTTTAGACTTGGACATGATTTTGGACTTGGATGTAATTTTGAAGTTGGATATAATTTTGGATCTTTTTTTGGTAATAGACGATTTTTTTCTTTTGTTACTAGCCATTAACAAACTTATATATATATTAATTGCTTATTGTGTTAAAATTTATTGCAATTGTAATCGAGATCGCATCAAATAAATTATAATCGTACATGCAGACAATCATGATAGAATAGCTATAATAAGTAGTCTTGACAATAAACATATTTAAAAATAAGAATGATGATTATATATGATGTAAAACAATCACGATCATGATCGTGATTGAAACAAACGAAATTAAAATTTTAAGTGAAGAAAATCAATCACAATCACGATTGTAATCGCAAACAAACGGAATTATAATCATACGAGATGTATAAATTGCCCTAAAAGTATAATTTAAAAAAAATATATAAATAAGTAAAATTAAAGTCAAAAAAATAATAAAAAAAAAATAAAATAAAAAAGAAAAACAAATCGTTCAAATCCAAAAAAAGATCCAAAATTATATCCAACTTCAAAATTACATCCAAGTCCAAAATCATGTCCAAGTCTAAAACCGTAACCAAACCTGTTGTAACTAAATCCAAGACCAAAATTATAACCAAGCCTAAAACCGTAACCAAACCTACTATAACTAAATCAAAACCTCAACAAACCTGAACTACTCGTGTAAAAGCAATTGAGTCCGCTCTCAAGGCACTTGCTAGCTCTGAAAAGCTTAGCATTCGGGAAGCTGCATTAAGATTTGATGTTGCTGCAACAACTTTAAGGCGTGCCATTAAAAATAATAGCTTGCCCAATCGTCCCGGTCCTTCAACGATCTTAAGCACCCACGAAGAAGAACAATTAGTAGGCTATTGTAAGAATATGCAGAGGTTAGGATTTGGCCTTACACGATCTGACGTAAACCATTGTGTGATGACAATTGTAAGAAGTAACAACCATAATCATCCTTTTAAAGATGGTAAGCCTGGTAAAGCCTGGTGGACACGTTTTATGAGAGATCATTCCGATTTGTCATTTCGTACACCTCAGGCTTTATCCGAGGCACATGCACAGAGAGCTAACCCGACTATAATTAAAGACCATTTTGACAAACTCAATAAAATAATTCAAGACAATTTACTTACCCCTGATAGAATTTGGAATATGGACGAAACTGGTTTCGTTATAACTCCAAAAGTCCAAAAAGTTCTTCCTAAGAAAGGCTCCCGTCAGGTCCATAAAGTTTCTCACGGCAACACACATGAACATATTTCTGTTGTCCCTATGATTTCGGCTGCTGGCAGCTACATCCCCCCATTAATTATTTACAAGGGTATTCGTGCAATTCCTAATTTGTTAAATGGTGCCTCTGCTAGTACTGTTATGGGTTTTACCGACACAGGGTATATGAAAGAAGAACTATTTCAAATGTACATCGAACATTTTATCAACTCTATTCCTCCTCGTCGTCTAGTTCTTTTAATTCTTGACGGTTACAAAAGCCACATAAACTATATATGCGTTAACTTTTGTAATGAAAATGGCATATTGCTATATGCGCTTCCTCCCCATACTACACACATTCTCCAACCTTCTGAGCTTCCTTTTTCTAAACTTAAAACGGAATATAGCAATGCTTGCAACAAAATTCATAATGACCATGGTGAGCTGGTAACAAAACACACATTCGCCAAAATGTTTGGACAAGCATTTACAAAAACTTACATACCTGAAGCAATTATTAATGCTTTTAGAGCTACGGGGATTTGGCCTCTTAATCCTAATGCTATTAATCCAGAACATCTTAATCCCTCTTTATCTACAGAACGAATTAATATTTTACCTTCATTCCAACAAACTGGTCAAGAACGTTTTCAAATGCTATTCCGTCTTTTCAACAAAATCCATATTCCTCTATCCCGTCATCTCAACAAAATCCATATTACTCTATACCGTTTTCTTAACAAAATCCATATTCCTCAGAATCGTTTTCTCAACAAAATCCATATTCCTCAGAATCGTCTTCTCAACAAAATCCATATTCCTCAGAATCGTCTTCCCAACAAAATCTATATCTCTCAGAATCGTCTTCTCAACAAAATTTATATCTCTCAGAACCATCTTCTTATCAAAATACATATTCCTCCATACCGTCTTTTCATCAAAGTCCATATCCTTCTCCTCATTCAATTCATATATCATCTTATCGACCAATTCATATATCGTCTTCTCACCCACTTCATTATTATTCTATACCATCTTCCCATTCAAGTCCTCAAACTAGTATTACAGGAGAAAATGAATTATTAAGGGTGGAAAATGATTCTTTAAAGCAAGAAAATACGTTATTAAAAGAAGAGCTTGAGACATTCAAAAATCCCGGTACCTGTTCTCTAAAATTAGCCCTTAAGTATCCTACTTTTCGAGCTCCAACAAAAACAAATGAATCAACATCCAATCAGCCAAAAAAAAGAAAAACCTTTCCCTTCGCTCGACTTCTTACTAATGAGGATACTCTACAAATGTTAAAAGAAATAGACGAGTTAGCAAAGAGTAAAGTAGAAAATGCAAAACGAAGAAAAGAGGAGGCGGCCCAAAAAAAAGCCGACAGAGAAATAAAAAAAGCACAAAAAAAGGCTGAAATTGAGAAAAGAAAAGAAGAACGTTTGCGTAAAAAAAAGAAATAACGATAACGTAATTCTTCATGCCGATCGTATTACAATATGGTATCACTAAAAAGATTCGCTTTTGATAAATTTGTATGTAAATTATCAATAATGTAATTTGCGCAATATGTAGATCTTAATACTAAACGGTGCGCCATAATACCCCCCAACCTAAAAAACATAACAGTTTTTAGATAGATTTTTGAAGTTTTTAAAGTCAAAAGTTTTTTTAGAAAATTTCGTTTTTTTTTGTTTGTCGACAAAGATTAAGTCGAATATTAGTTTATTTCAATAAAATTTTGGAATAATATTTTTTTCCAAAGAATTTTTACTATTAGCACTCTTAGGTGCGCCATAATACCCGTCCTGCCCTTATGTCTATGACTTTAATGGAAAGATATGCAAAAATTAAGGATAAAAAATTGAGTTATAGGTGGTATGTTTATGACTTTAATGGAAAGATATGCAGAAATTAAGGATAAAAAATTGAGTTATAGATGGAAAAAACAATATGAAAATATTAAACTTTTTAAGGAAACTTATTCCGATACTAAAAATCTTGATAAGTTACATAAAAAAGAATATGCGAGACTTTTGACTAATGCTTTACAAGACACTTTAAAGAATTGGGTAAAAAAGAAAAATAGTAAATTATTTGATACTAAAACTTGGAACGAATGTCAAAAGATATAAGTATTAGGTTTTTCTTGAAGACAATATTAAAGGTCATTATGGTACAACCGAATGATGCAGATAAGAAAGGTCAAGGTATTTCTGCTTAGCATACTTTAGGTAATAGATTATTATGTGCTATCGGTAAAGTTATTGCAGAATTATTACCTGATTGTTTTAGCTTTGAAAACTTGACTGTAGAGCAACTACAAGAAGTTAAAGATATTTAGGTTTTAACCTTTCATATGTATTAATAACGGTGTTACAGATGATGAATTGCATGAATTTGTAAAGGTCGAATTATTTTTAAAATACATTTTGGATGTATCACAATATGATAAAAAACAAGGCATGCCAACACAAATGTTAGAGGACATTTTAATCGATTTATTTTTCAGTAACAAAATTATGAGACTTTACAGAGAAATGCGTTGTTCTATGAAGATGGATGGTGAGTTTGTTAAATTCGTTAAAACTGGAGTTAAAGATTCAGGAGAAAGTATGACTCTTTTAATGAATACGGTACTGTTAATGTTCATTTTGATGTTTTTAATCGAATGGGATCAAGCTTCGATGCTTCTGTTGATGGGTGATGATGTTTTTTTTGCAAGCTAAAGTAATAAAAATGAGAAATATCTTGAAAATTCTAGACCCAAATTTAAGTTTAGTTATGAATGCAGATTACGATTTCCCAAAATATGGTGATTTTGCTAGTCAAATTATAACACCATGGGAAACAATGCCGAAAAATGGTTAGTAGGCAATATCATAAGAATGTTGAACATATCGACCCTATGGAGAAAATTAAAACGAACATGAAAGGTATTGAGAATTCTTTTTTGTATTGGTTACACTTTGAATATTTTCTTGTCTTTATACATTTGAACAAACTGCTTGTATCCATATTTAATGCTTACGACCAGTAGTTAAATTGCAGCAGTTGTAAAGTCTCTCCCTTTTTGTAACACCAGACATAATCTAGACTGGTTCAAGATCAAGGACCAAATAAACTTTTAGTCTCGGTTCAAAGACCGGTTGGGGCCAGTCTTTACTAGAACTGATTCAACCTATTTAGTAGACTCAATTTGAAACCCCAAATAGCAGCATCAGCCGTGACAATAAATGTTATTATACTCACTGATTGAAATAAAATAAATAACAGATATTTATGAACTTAAATAACTTATTTATAAGACATAAATTAATGAATACTCTTTATACTTACTGACTGTAGTATGTTAAATGAAATTAAATGGTAAAGATTCGTGAATTGAATCGCAGACTAAAATGAAATTAAATAGTAAATATTCGTGAACTTGAATATCTTATTTTAAATACATAGATTATCGCTCTTTCGATTTAATTGGATCGACTATCTTCATACTATTTTTTGGAGTCACATGAATCCGTGAATACAACATAGATACGTAGCCATTTTATGTTCGTCATATTTTGTGAAGCTTTTTTTATTGTTGGGGATGATGCTGAAAATTGGATGATCGTGAAATTCAAAATCCCATTGGCTGATCACCCTAACCCTAAGCGTTATTTTCACGACCATCTAATTTTCCACACATTTATTGATAAAGGGGAAATATATGAATAATTCTGTAATTAAAATGAGTCTCACGAAAGATGAAGTTGAAGTGACTACCATATTGTAATCACAGGATTCACGAGACTCAAAAAAAAAAAACTTATGAAGATCGTTGATCTAACTAAATCGAAAAGAGTAATAATAAAGCTCTTTATACTCATTCACTAAATTAACGCGAATAAAATGAAATGATGAAGCTGAGATTCATGTGATCTGCAATATAGATCATGGGGAATGTAACATTTAACACTTCCGACTCTAAGTCCTAGCTAAACCCTAAAACAAAGCAAACAAAAACACAAACTTTTTTATTTTTATATTTTAAATTGTTTCTTTGGTTTCGGTAAACAGATTCTTTTTTTTTTTTTTAGCAGGTGGGTTGAGTAAGTGGTTTTTTTTGGCGGATAGGTTTGATTAAAACATTCTTTTTTCACGGGTGTTTGGATAGGTAGTTTTTTTTCTTCAGTATAGCATTGAATAAGGTTTTTTTGAATAAGTGGTTTTTTGTTTTGACTGTTTGTTTTTTTGATGCATCTACCACGCAAATTATTATATGATATACAAAATGTGATGTTTTCTATTACTGTATTAACACACCTCATATTTACACAATCATGATCTACATTGCAGCCAATGTTCTTTATACTCACTAATAAAATGAAATTGAAGAGTAAATATTTATGAATCAGAACAGCTTATTTTAAATACTTAGATAAATAAATATTCTTTATACTCACTCACTAATGAATGAAATTAAATAGTAAATATTTATAAACTTGAATAACTTATTTTAAATATTTATGTTATTAATCATATAATAAATCCTTTTTATACTCACATACTGAAATGAAATTAAATAGTAAATATTTATGATACGTACGTAGCTTATTTTAAATACTTAGATTAATAAATGTTCTTTATGCTTACTGACTGAAACGAAATTAAAAAGTAAATATTCATAATTTAAATAGCTTATTTTAAATACTTAGATTAATAAATATTCTTTCTACTTACTAAATTAATGTAAATAAATAGTAAATATTTACAAATTTGAATATTATAAACCATTTAGAGACATCCAAAATCGCAACATACGTATCAATCATTGTGCGGATGATTTTGAAATTGGCTGACGCTAAAATTTGGTTTCAATTTGAAATTTAAACCCTGCTAAAACCCCACATACACTTTAATTATCAATTTTAGCTCAAAATCCTAAACAAAATAAAATTTAAATTTTCATATTAAAATAGGGCCAATTTTCAATATCAGCTAATTTTAGCATCAGCTGTAAAAATAATTATTTGGAAATTTACAAAAAAATATATAACTTTGTAGTCTTGATTAAGGTCTACAAAGTTACTTTTTTTTTGAGAGATATCATTTGAATTTTGAAATTATAAGTGGCACAGATTTGATGCGACTAGAATACTTTTGCGCTTACTATCTGTAGTACGTTAAATGAAATTAAATAGTAAATCGTTATGAACCTAAATAACTTATTTTAAATGCTTAGTTAAATGTTCTTTATACTTACTCACTAAAGAAACATGAATAAAATAAAATTAAATAGCAAACATTCATGAACTCAAAGAGTTTATTTAAATATTTAGTTTAATAAATGTTCTCTATATTTACCGACTAAAATGAAATTAAACATTAAATATTCATGAACTTGAACAGTTTATTTTAAATACTTATATTAATAAATGTTTTTTTTTAAATAAAACTAAATAGTAAATATTCATGAACTTGAACAGTTTATTTTAAATACTTATATTAATAAATGTTTTTTTTTAAATAAAACTAAATAGTAAATATTCGTGAACTCGAATAGCTTATTTTAAATACTTATTTTAATAAGTGTTCTTTATACCCACCGACTAAAATGAAATTAAATAGTAATTATTTATTTATGAACTCAAATGGCCTATGTTAAATAGATTGATAAAATCATTTTATACTCACACACTAAGAATAAATAAAATTAAATCGTGAATATTTATTAATTGAATAACTTATTTTAAATATTTAGATTAATATTTTTCTACTCAGGTTAAATTAACCGTATAAAATGAAATTAATAGTAAATACTCGTGTAAATTTTAAATAAATGTTCTTTACATTTACGAACTAAATATGAATGAAATCATATTGAGCCATATTATTAAAATAGAATTATTATGAACTATTGTAAATAAATGGTTTGGATGCTTAATATAATTATTGATCATTATACATACTCTCTAAAGAGTTGATTTTTTTTCAATTTTTAAAATTAAAATTGGAAATAACTTACTTGTTTATCCAATAATAATACTTATCTTTACTCTTTTCCACACCAACTCCATAATAATAACTAATGGCAGTTTTAAAAATTCCCACACAATTACCTGCCTCAGCCGATTTTAGATAAAATGTAAAGCTTTATATTTATCTATTCCAATTCCAAACCTAAAGAATAACAATAACTAACTTTATACTTTCCAAGAGAATTATTCATCTCTGCAGATGTTTGAAAATGAAGAAATGCCGTATTATTATTCTTTTCAACTCCAATCCCATGATCATAACAATAACCAAGCCAAAAATAATGCATTTGGGTCATTCATATTGGCCAACTTTTGACAGCCAATGGTATTAAATTCACCAAAATCATCAGTAACTTGGGCAATTTCATCTGATAAGGTCTTGTCTTTTATATTAGACATTTTGGATACGATTATATGTTACAGGAGAAGAAATAATTCGTCGAAATGTGAATGTAATACTTTGGTAAATAATATATCCTAAGTTTATATATCAAAACAATGTACCTAAAAATTATAGTAAGTACAATGAGCGTTATAAATTTCCAGAATTCGTACATACTATATACAATTCAAGTTTTTAATCAAAATAAAAAGTGATTCATGAAAATATTGTAGTTACATAACGTCAATTGTCTGCAGAAATGGAACCGAAAAATGGAAGTCAGAGACCAGCTCTCTGTCATTAACTCAAGGTCGATTAAGCAGTTACCGTATTCCTTCTAAAAATAAGCACCCCTGGTCTACTGTAACCGTTGATGGAGAGGCTAAGAAAACATTATAAGGCAATTTAACTCCAACGGTGTACGGAGAAATAAATATAAGGCGACTTGAAATTAAAACCTCGTTTAACGTTATCCCCCCCTCCACTTACAGGTCTCCCCCCAAAAATTAAACAATTAATAAAATAAAATAAATAAATATAAAAAAAAAAATTATATGTCAATATTACAAAAGTAA